CATCTTTGTCCCCTATGTTCCAGCAAACTCTCTTCTGGCAAATCATGGGATTGGTGTTCTGACATGGGAAGTTTTGTGCTATTCGAGGTGGGACATTTCCAGCCAGGTGCGCCGGTGTTAGGTAGCTGAGCTGCTCAGCTACAAGGGTCGGTCATTGACCACCAAACTGAACGCGGATTCAAGACACTTTGTGGTGAAAACAAGTGCAACTGACCGTTTTGGTGCTTAACCCGCGCCCTGGTGGGGGGGGGGGGCTATTTTTTGCCCCCCCCCCCCCTCCAGACTTTTCAATATATCTCCAGAACCGCTGCGCCGATCGTCACCAAACTTTCAGTACCCTCCCGGACATCAATTTTACACATTGTGACCAAAAATTTTTCCAAAGGCTATGATAGGTTGGCCGGAAATGACGTCAGAGTGACGTCATGTTCTGCCGTTTTCGACCCAAAAAAGGGTTTCGCGGGAAGAGCTGTCAGGCCTATAGCTTTGCAAATATAGAAAAACGATAAAGACATAAAAGCTGTAGAATTGACAGGGCTACAAAACTGCTATCTCGGATTTTTAAAATTTTTGGATTTGGACCCCCAAAAATCAAAAAATAGATTTTTTGATTATAATAGCCGAAAAATCCAAAAAGTTTTTTGAATTTCGAAAAAACCGGAATATATGTGATAGTCCTTACCGCCTTCTATCTACATACCAAATTTGAGATCAATACCTCTTTTTTTGGCCAAGTTACAGCGAAAAAACTGTTCAAAATTGATGACGTCAAATTTTCAAACTCAATTTTTTTGCAATTCTAGACCTCGTAGCGCAAAACAAAGACCACCATTAGACTCCCCGTGACGAGCTGCATCGAATCAATACCCATTTTATGCAAAAATATCAACTTTGAAATTTGACCTTTTTTGACCTGACCTTGACCTGACCTCCACCAGAAAGTGACCTAAGCCGTACCTGATAGTCTTATAACCAACACCATTGAGTTGGAAATGAAAAATTGGCCATAAAACATGCACCGCACAACCTTAGTACCTAAAGTTAGGTTCATGTGACCTGTGACCCTTGGTGACCTGACCTGTGACCTGACCTGGTAATGTCAGTGACCTCTTATAGCAATATATGTACTAGGCAACTGACGCCCTATCGCTGATTCTCGACAAAATGCGTTTTCTTCGGTGTTATAGCGCATTCCCTAGATGACCCGTGAACGGTGAAACATTTCATCTTTGACCTGACCTGTGACGTCATCGGTGACCCCGAGGTCAATGAAATTTGGTTTCTCTCGACAAATTTGACAGACCTTTCGAACGCCGTTTGAATTTTGCGGATCCGTCCAGTAGTTTCGGAGATACGAGGGGGGGCAAAAAATAGCCCCCCACCAGGTCGCGTTATAAACAGACCCCACCAGGGCGCGGGTTAAACTGGCAGCCCACACAGCGCAGAGTGCGGTAGGATAAAGCAGCCAAGTCGACTGTCGTTTACACTTATTGCAACATCATTTCTTAGAGTGAAAGCAGTACCAGTTATTCAAGACATTCTTAGTGATAACGTAACGCCGATGTCCATTAAAATATGTCGTCAGAAACTAGATCGTCACGGTAAGGTAAAATCTAACCACATCAATCCACATTCGGGTATACGCACCCGACCAGAACAACAGGATAGAGCCATAGTGGAAGGACTACCAGCTTAAAAATCAGCTTTTGACATTGAATAATGGTATGCCATCTCATATAAGGAAATCTAGAGTGAGATCCAGAAGGAGAAAATAGTATAAGAATAACTCATACAATAGCAAGGTTATAGCTAATCAGACGAACATAAAATGCTAACTATGCCCCTGACAATCTCCACCGAAGACAATGTCAGAGCGATGGCAGATGTGCTTGGCCGTGACTTTGGTATTGATGCTTCCTGCATGGCTACAGATTCCAAATATATGTACTTACCTCCATACCCAAATTCATCCAAAAATTCATTATCACCCACCAGAGAAGTTCCTACAAATGTTGGAAACCGCACCAGCCAACTACTCATTGTATTTTTCATATAGGGGCAGATTTAGTCCTTTCCAGTAGGCGTATTATGTTCTGTTTATCCCATTTAACGACGGACGACTACCGTTCAAACGTCTCTAAGTACACAGCGCCCGCGGGACGACGTCACTTCGCCGGAATGTGGTTCTTGTATGCCGGAACATCGGATTTCGACACATTCCACTTACCGCGCGGAGGTTACAAGCAAAGACAAACGCCTGATCCAGTACGGAACGCCCGCTTAGAGTTTAACTGAAGCTTAGCTTACATGTCGCGGACTGGCTGTTAAGTTCCGTTGAATAGTCACCTTCTTCCATCCTGTATTGCTTTTTCTTCTAATTGACTTGCACAAAAAAACGAGTTAAAGGATGGCGCTTTCAACCACTCACATTGCCTGCAAAAATACACAGCTCTTTGCAAAATCGGCATTGCACTGAATTCACACACGACTAAATGAATGATCTGATAAAATTGCACCAGCGCCTATATCATTCATTGGTTAACAAGAAAACTTTACGTCCCTATACAAGCAGCATGTGGTTTTGCAGAGTTTAAACAGCAACATAAGAATCTAAATAAATACATGCTATTCTCTATAGCTACGTTCAATCAGATGCAGGCTAAGGACCCCAAAATAATTCAGTGGCATGTTTTTACGTAACGTCCCCATTGTCAGATAATAATATGATAGTGATGATAAACCGAGTGTTATCTGGAATTTAAATTCATAGTCAGAGCGGTTGGACATCTTTCAAAACAAATGAAATCGGGGGTCGGACATTCGATGGCAGTCTGTGTCATTTGTCATAGTGAGTGACAGAGTGCCCTCCGGGGCCTAAAAGACGCACCGACTACGCAAGGCATAAAAGGGAACGGAGTCGGAACGGTCAGGTCGGTGTCTCAGTGCGGGCGGAGCGCAGCAAGACATAACAAATGAGTCTTAGCAGCCTATCATGATTATAACACCGCATTAAAGTCGCAGCTCCGTGGGCTTTTCGAGTAGCAAAACTACTCCATTATCTTAGCCGGATGAGAGGCTAAGTGCAAACTACAGGCCTCTCAAAAATGAAATCACCAATAATCACTCACATGCATGCAGTTGGAAAATAAGTCCCACTACAGTCAGCTGGAGCCAGTGCGGCGCTCGAATTCCTAACGTTATGGTGCCTAAATATATCAATTGACATCAATCTTCTCGCTCTCATCAGTTCCTCAATGCCCATGCCAGGTCAGGCAGGCACAGAATGTCCCTGGCTGACCCGATTTCTCCCCTCACCCTCGCCTTTGCGCCCGGTGTCCGGCGTCCTGTTCAACGACTTCGGGTCGCGACACGGGGTCAGCACGGGGTCACAGGTCAGCCGCAGCGGGTCATAGGGTCACGCACAGGTCAACCGTCGGCCATTGGCGTCTCGTCGGTAATGAGTCGCGCCGTGTAACCTCCATGAGGCCATTCGTCATTTCGGCACGTCAATATCCCCGCAGGTCAGATGTGTTTTGGTGGAGGGCATCGCCGCCGGCGAGCTGATCCAACGAGGATGGACATTGGACAGTGGACACTGAAGGTGTGAGACTGAGACCGAACGCAGCTAGGCCCTACCATCACACCAGGAACCAAATTCTGCTGGCTCATCAACTCAGAGACGATAAAGCCCCCCACCCCCCCCCCCCCTACTAACACACAGCGGCCGGGGCAGATGGGCGAAACCACTGGACGCAGCAGGTCCGTATATAACATCTCGATAAATCCAACGGCAGTCATCCCATGGTTGGCATCCACTGTCATAACTCATAAGGTACAGAGTTTGAAAGTTACGTAAGGTGCTTAGACGGTGCCGAAAATATTAGTGTGAAAAGGGAAATGAAATATTGTTAGTGAATACTGAATAATTTAATATACTATCAAGGGATCAAAGAACTATATACGTGCACACGGATATATGCGATCCGTTTACCCGTATTTTCCGGGTAAAGCACGGTATCTCCGTCTTGGACTGTAGGCCAGTCGGAGTATGCAGAAATAATATCGATCCACTACTGGAATGACACAAATATCGTCGACATGCCGCCAATGACGATACCAAGGAAGAACCAATCTGTCAAATAAACATATCACTGGCCAATAACTACACATCCACACAGTACACATTACAGTGCAGAGTGGCAAGGCATTCCTGATTCTCCAGAATGTGTCCTGATAACAAGATATAAGCCAGATCGTTTGAAAAGATGTCAGAACACATCAAATTTCTCAGAACATTTGGTTTTTTGTTGTTTATTTGGGCTTTAGGGCGCGCCGACTACTAAGGTCATTTTGCGCCCTCAGAACATTTGGGATTAATTCCAATAACACAGACATCTCGCGGAAATAATAGATGAAACCGTTGAGCATAGCTGGAAGGTAGCACTAGCGACTGATCCACATGGGCGACCCGCAGCGCCGAGCAGGATTCGGTCCGTGGCAAGACCAGCCGACCCAGCGCCTACCAGGGGTCCGACCGATTCCCCAGTGTATCGACTGAGCCACGCAGGACTCGCAATATCCTCTATCCAGCCCGACCAGCCGCCGACTCGACAGCAATTATTTCTAGCCCATTATATTTTGAATTACCGATAGTCTGTATCACTGATTGCGTATGTGATTGCTGCATGATTAGATGTGCTGTGATTTAATCCCAACGCGAATATCCCTACCTCTCAATTATTCCGCAGTTACTTTCATTATAATCAAAGCTGGTCTGATTGCATTCCTGGGAACATCTCTCATACGCTGCGTTGGATCTGTAACATGAAACGGTCCTTGACAATACCCTTATGAGTGAGAGCTTTCATAAAACGACATTCGCAACCCACGTCGGGGGATATAAAAGAACAGCCAACCCATGTCAGCCCGATGCGCACATCAGTCAGGCCAGGGCGTCATTGGTATTTGCTCAAAGAGACCCCGACTTCTGCAGGACTTACCTCGTGTTGGCATCAGCAGTCCATCTCCATGCAAGGCCAATCTGCGAACACAAACGATAAAGCTGTTATAAACATCACAGACTAGCGAGAACTCAGAACAGTTATGGAAAGTGTTAAATTAGAAGAAGACAACCTGAAAATGAGGTAATTCTTTGAGATTATCAAAGTCAAGTGATAGGCTGCATTTAACATGGCGATGTGTGTTGTGTGCATCGGACTGCATATTTCGGAAAGAATTGGAACAGTCGTTCATGCATACAACTATGCCCGTGCATGTTGCATGTCACGAGTTTTCGTGATTACAGAGTAAACACTCTAATGTTACAGCGAACCCCGTTCTTCATCCCCCTGACCAGATACTACCGGAGGATCAATAAACATCTCTGATCTGAACCAGCACAGATTCGTACCTAAGGACCTTTGCCAGCGGAAACGGTCGGATTTTCACAAACAATGAGTCATATGCCCAGCATTTGTGTTAAGTTTGACCCCAACTCGCCTGGCTACTTCGGTTAAACCAACGGCATCCTGTACCTAACACTGACAAATATAGCAAATAAAATATCATCACGAAAGTAATAACAAAAAGATAACAAGCACAATAACGTAGATTCCACACACCCACGAGTACCTATATGTATGTACAGTCCACAGCAGAAGTAATGTGCGGTTTCAGTCATGGGTATGTTCTGCTTCTGAAGCTTAGGAACGATTAACCAGACTACACTGAAACTTTGAATGAAGCTTATATATATCGTCACCCTTGCAGCTGCAACTTGAGCTATTGACATCTTCTTTTCGATCACTCCGCATTAAACAATCGCCAGTCAAAGCCAACCGTTGAGATTGGTAAAACCCTACATTACTTTAGCGGTGGGCTGTACATTATCTGGCTATGCGTTGCATTGAACAATGCCAAATTAATGTCTACAACCACATACTGTACCGCGCAATCTGACCACGGTTCTGAGAAATACAATCAAGGGCAATACAATGTCACATACCTACTATAGCCAGCGGTGACAAATTGCTGCCGCGATGTAGCAGTCAAATATCATGTCCCGAGAATGCTCGTATGCCTATGATCAGGGTTTACGAGCAGTAATGTAATTGTTTCGTGATGTATTGCTACGGGCAGCAGAAGCCAGAAAGTCATTTGCCAAAAAAAACATCCTGCATTAACGTAACCGATTATGTACATGAAGATACAGTTCAATACAGTAATGGCACTCCTAAATAAAAAATCAACTTAGCCCCGAACAACGAAAAATCACTTCTCAGCCGAGCATGAAATGTGAAAAATATGTGTTCATGCCGATATTCATATCATTAGGTCTTTGGTAGTAGTGATCGGGCGGGTCGCGCAGCCATCAGTAAATCATGTGTCAATCGACAGGGATCCATTGTGCGGGCCGGCTGGCGCCGTAACCCTTTGACGGCCGGCCGAATGTCCCCGGGGCTCGCTCAATGCGGACCGCTTAGCCACGCACTGCGCCTCTGATCGGGCGAACACGTAAAAATCGCCCGCCGGCCGGTCACAGGCGACGGACGGCTGGTAGTTCAGGGGATCACGGGTAGCCGTGTATTGTGGGGAGGGGCTCGGACGCTGCACGTGGCGGCGGCTGTCGCCGTTAGCAGTGTAGCCGGTCGGCGGCACGCGCCCGCCGGCCGGGGTTGGGTGCGCGGTTAGCGTGGCACGCCGACAATGTGAGCACCGAGTGCCGGCGTGTCCCACGCTGCCACGCCGCCCGTGTTAACACGCCGCCAACTCATGTCCATCTGTCCACACAGAGATCGGAGCTGGATACCGTTAGCCGACCGCCAAAGGAAAACTAAAAATACAACAGGAAAGTCGCCGCGGTCAGAATTTCCAGCTGGATGGGGAAAAGCTTCTCCGGACTGAGTGCAGCGATTGGCCGTATCGCCGACCGATAGCGCACTTACATGGCTACTGCATTACCTGCAGCTCGCACCTGGTGATTGTGTCAGCGCGGATCGCAGGAAAATCGCGCACAAATGGGTATATGTTCCAGAGGTTATAACTTGACCCAGCCACGATCAGCGATTCAGATGGAAATCATATAGTCACTATTCAAAACAGATGGCATGCCTGCTGATTTATTAGGGGAGCTTTGCTGAGAAGATCAGATACTACGGCTCGGACAAACATGAAGAGAAAAAGAATGTAAAAAATGAATCAAATTTACAAAATATTTAACAAGCATTAAATCTGCCGAATATCCACCTACATACATACAGGCATGGATATTTTTTTCGTCAAATATTCACTGATCAGCATACATCTTGATCCCATTGACTCAATTCAATTCACCAGAGTTCCGTACTCCACGGAGCCGATGGTGGTTCCGGGCCACCCGTCGGCGCCGACAGAGCCGATTGTCGACAGCGACCCATCGATCCTGCTCCGACACAACTGGTTCGACCGAGACAACGAATGGATTGCAGAAGGCCCATATCTTAGGCAAATACAAACACGATTAGGCTGGGCAATTGGATTAGGCGCGCAGCCGAGCGGGCGGCGCCGGCCGCCCAGAGAGCGGGTCACGATGACCGATCGGAGGGGCCGGCCGAGCCCAAACGAAGATCGGTGGCGCCGGCACCGCCCGTACCGCTACGAGGGTACTGCGCCAGAGAAGCGCACCAGTCGAAAGGGAACACATAGAGAAAGGTGCACAATGAACGAGCGGGATCGCAGAAGAGCAGGTAATGCAGATTGCATGACAAAACAACCAACGCTATGCTGAAGTTAGTTGGCTAATGGATGGTGATCACTACCAATTAAAACTCTACACATAACGACACATGTAATATAGGACAATAAAGAAATGTAAATTATCGCTAATGAATCAACAAAGACTCAACATGCATGATGATACTGCCATTCCATAAACAATAACAGAACAGTGCGGTTATACGATCAAGGTTTATTACGCGGACATTTCCTAATTGGCCATAAAACGCGCCGGAACATTTGCATGTAGATAAAGATTGCATAGAGGCAGCCATCGATCTTTTCCGCCAGTGAAACACGAGAGGTCGCCACCACAGTCATAAAAGGGATTCGTAATTCATAGCGTACAATAAAAAATAACAATAAAAAGATGCAGCGATAAAACTGGCCATAAATGTGATTTGTGTCTCGGGCTCGTCATTTGAATTCCGTTAAAAAGGCCACAACAACAGATAATGACACAAAAACATGACGGAAAGACGGGCATTACTTTCCATTAAGATGCAAACCACAGCCAACTGACGAGAGGGGAACGGCATTTTTATGCACCGCATACAAACACTGGTCGTCTGCAAGAAACACTGATGTAGCGAGGCCACATTCTTCCAGAAACGGGGAACAACAATATAGCAAATTACTTTATCGTGCTCGTCTCTGGAAATGTCTGTTCCTATTGCTCATTTCTGCCGTTTACGCACTATCAAACATGTTTCCTTATTGCACCTTTATTTCACAGCAGATAGGGATAGGGCGTCTGGCACAAGCTCGGTGCCAGGACCAGGAAGGATTACACCTCGATCTACTTGTGGTACGTCAAATCTTCGATTTAATTAGCCGGGCGTAGGGTAGATCGGATGACGAATTCATTGTGCTTTTTGGAACTAACCGAACAATGGGGCTTACAATCACCGATTTTTCAGGCAATCGGATGAACGAACATTATAGACTAAATACTTTTCAAAACTACTGTCGTGTCAAGTCGAAGTCAATGGCGTGCATTTCAACTGCAACCAAACAGCTTTCAGCCAGCCCCATAAGTAAGCACACCCATACCACTAACACCCGCCCAGTCAGCCGACCAGCACCCTCGGAAATCGGGGCGTGGGTGGGCGCAGCGCCGACTCTCGGCCGGCGCCGGTACCTCTCCCGGGCCGGGCGGCTGACCCGACCCGGGCCGGGAGGATGCCGACGGCCCACACTGAGGGAGATATTCCCGGAGACAGGGCGGCGTGTATCTTTCATTAGACCAAGAGCCGGCGAGCGGGTTCCTCGGCCGGCCGAGCGGCCCTCCGGGGATCGCCACTCCGGCTCGGCTGCTGCCGACATAATGCTACAGATATGCACTCCAATTTAAACAGCCAAATGTTATTTATTGAGTGCAATTTGCATGTTATTGCATTAGGCGCCGCCTGCGGAGATCAGTGCCGGTGAAAAAACTTCAAACGGAAGCGGCCCTAGACGCCGTCGGCCGGCGGGCAGATGGGGCCGGTCGGGCGACCCGTGTCTTTTCGTCAGTCAGCAGCGGCATTGTACCGGATCCATCCCAGGAACTGGTGAGGCTGACAGGGCCAAGCTGCCTTTGTCCGGTGCCAAAACGGGATACGGACACGACACGCAAGGCTCATGGCATCCCTGGGTCCCCTGATAGAAGTTGGTCACCAAGAACGGGAACGAGACCAGAAACCTACATAAATCAGCGAAGATGAAGAAAGGAAGGAGGAACAAAGCGTGATAGCAACATATCCGTGAACAGAAATAGAAACAGGCAGAAATAGAAAGCGCTTGATTTATTGAGCGCTTCGATAGATTTTCGTCACCATAATGATCTCGCACAATGGTGACAACGGCAAACACGATCAGTAGCTGGAGCTTCGAGTTCCCTTTCCGCTACGCCCGGTAGCTAGCTACATCCAGACGGGAAGTAAGAGTGGTGTAACTGGCACGGAAAACGGTAATCACAGTTTGAGCCGCCTTACCAAAGATGACGTGCCCATTAACAACTCGCCGGCACGGTGGGGAAAGCCGCAATACTGACAGGCAACAAACAACGGATTTAATCAGAATGCAAATGGCATTCAAACGGAAACTAAGTAACAACAGCTCAGCTGACCTTGACATAAATGCGATGGCAAAGTACGACCCAACCTCGCAGCCTTCAGCACGAATAGTGGTGCGAGCTTCATTCAAATACCGAACGGAACTGAAATCTATATTATAAATTATAAGATGTCTGTGCGTAATCCGTCATGCCTTATGTGTCTTATTGCGCCTGAAAGGCGCCGCGTATCG